AGCGACCCCTCCTTGGGTTTCCGAGGTGGTATCACTACGGAAGTAGATTGCCCCATCTTCCTTCTGAGGAGTGGCTGGTGGGTTTGAACCACCAGCCTTCTGGTTAGCAGTCAAGGCACTATGCTACCTTGGGCTTATCAGCCTCAATAGCCAACAGCTGAGTGAAGAAAAGCCTCTAGCTTCAGTGGGTGGGGAGCCAGAGGCAGAGCTGAAGCCCAAGGTTCAGGGGCTTTCACCCAGCCCCTAAGAGCCTAGCACTTTGAACTCAGACTTAAAGACTCCAAACTGTAAGAGAATAAACTCCTGTTTTTTCAAGCCATCCCATTTGTGGTATATTCTTGTCAGAGCAGTACTAGGGAACCAGAACAGTAAGGAAGTCCTCATCGGTTTTTCAGGAGATGACTATATATCCAAACCCATTTTAGGAAATCTTATTTGACTTTCAATTAAATAGAACTTTCCCCATGGGCCTTGATGGGCCCTCTCACCCCTTTCATAGGGTGATTGCTAAGACTAAGTATGACTTCATATATAAAGTCTTTTAAAAATAATATCACACATATATTGAGTACTTGCTCCATGACAGGCAGTTTTAAAGTATTATCTGATTTAACCATCACTCAGCCGTCTATCATCGTGTCATTTTATGCAAACACAGAGAGGTCAAGAACTTGCCCATAGTCACACAGTGAATACATGACTGACCTGGGATTTAAGCCCAACTCTGGTGGCATAGTGCTAAGGAATTTGACTGAGAACCAGAAGGTTGGCCATTCAAAGCCACCAGTCACTCCTCAGAAGGAAGATTGGGCAATCTACTTCTGTAGTGATACCACCTCAGAAACTCAAGGAGGGGTCACTATGAGTTGGATCCAACTTGAGAGCAGTGAGTTTTGTTTTGTTTTGTTTTGTTTTGTTTTGTTTTGTTCCTGAGACTTCAGGGCCTGACCTTTGATCGCAGCCTCCCAAGTAAAGGAAAAGCTAAAGTTAAGGTAGTGGTGTGCCTAACCCAATCTGGTGTTTTCAGTCACCTCAGATGCATATGAAAGCTGGAGAATGAATAAGGAAGACCCAAGAAGAGTGATTTTCTTTGTTGGTT